TCGCCGCCGTCTCTGTTTCCTCCAACTTCATTCCCCTCTCATGACGGCTTGCCTCCCACTCTCCGGCGACCCAAACGCCTCTCTCCCTTCCGACCCACATCACAAAATGGTCAAATTCTGCCGACCCACCTTCTCCGATCATCTTTCTTCCATACCCATTTCCCCAAATCCCCACAAAATCCAAGATTCTCCTCCGCCGCCGCTGCCGCCGCCCTGTTCCGATTCCGATCTCTGGTTCAAAATCCGGGAAGAAGCTCGTTCCGATGTGGAAGACGAACCCATTTTATCGAACTATTACATCAGTTCGATTCTCTCCCATAGCTCTATGGATCGGGCGCTAGCGAACCATCTCTCGATTAAGCTCGGTAGTTCGAGCCTCCCGAGCTCGACTCTGTTCGAACTGTTCTTGGGCGTTTTGAGAGACGACGGCGGCGAGATTTTGCGATGTGGGGTTAGGGATTTGAGGGCGGTGAAGGAAAGAGACCCGGCTTGTATTAGTTATGTGCAATGTTTTCTGAATTACAAAGGGTTTTTAGCGGTTCAATCGCATCGAATCGCTCATAAACTTTGGTCTGATGGGAGGAAAGTTTTGGCGATGTTGATTCAAAACAGAGTATCTGAAACTTTCGCCGTTGATATCCATCCCGGCGCCGAGATTGGATGTGGGATTCTTCTTGACCATGCTACCGGCGTCGTCGTCGGCGAGACGGCGGTCATCGGAAACGATGTCTCGATTCTTCACCATGTGACTTTGGGCGGTACCGGGAAGGATTCCGGTGACCGGCACCCGAAGATTGGAAATGGGGTTTTGATCGGCGCCGGAACTTGCATTTTGGGTAATATTAAGATCGGTGATAGAGCGAAGATTGGAGCTGGGTCGGTGGTTTTGAAGGATGTACCGCCGCGGACGACTGCCGTCGGGAATCCGGCGAGGCTGGTCGGCGGGAAGTCGAATCCGATTAAGTTGGATAAGACGCCAAGTTTCACTATGGATCATATTTCTCATATAAACGAGTGGTCTGATTATGTTATATAGATTTTTTTTTTTTTTTTTTTTTTTTTTTTTTTTTTTTTTTTTTTTTTTTTTTTTTTTTTTTTTTTTTTTTT